CCCGGATACCGGCTGCGTGCAGTGGTTCAAGCTGGGCTAACCGAATGATAAAGCCGAATTATTCTGCCGATTTTGCCGATTTAGCCGAATTGCCGATCGGCCAAAAAAAATCAGCTTAGCCAAAAATGCTGCGATAAAGCCGCGGCACAATCCAACCCTGCCGTGACGCCAGTCACAATACATGCGCTTCAAACACGCGCTCTTGCACTTGATTTACTGTATACTACTAGCAAAACGGCTTCACATTATTCATACTCCAAGCAACAACAACAACAAAAAAACAGAAGTGAACATACAGGTGACAGGAAATTTGATTGCGCAAAGCGACAGCTTGTTGATCTAGATGCATTAAATCAAGTACTAATAGCGCAGATATTGTAGTTTTTTTTTCTTTTCTGCTCAGCACCGTAAGCACATCGGCCCCTGTAAGCACTTCAAAAGCTAGCAGCATTTACACACCGCAATTGTAGCTGCCTACTGGATCTCCAAGTTCGTAATCACCCGACGAGCCCGATATCGACTTGGAGAGGCTTCGGGAACTATTCCCACTAGTCTCTCTGTCAGAGGCCGCACTTTCACCCCATAGCTTGAGGTCGTAGGGTCATAGATGAAGACATATCTTAGCGTAAGGTTCACCACGATAGAGCACCAGTGGTTTTCCCCACAAAAGATCGGAATCAACACTTTCTCGAACGGGAGACCAAGAAAATCGGTCTCCATGCTCGCGACGGGCACGAAACCGCTCATAACAGCTCCAGTCGTTGCAGTATTGACCGGAATTGTGTTACTTCTTTTGGCAAATAATGACATCACCAGAGTATTTATAATGCAGTCGACCAGCGGTGATTTACGGAGAAACTTCAGTGCTTCATCCTAAGTGAAGTCACAAATACGAGTTAAATAACCATATAATTGAGTCAGCATCAGCTTCATACTTATGCCGAAAGAAATGGGATACGCTTGACGCTGGCTATAATGTCAAGGTCTTTTGCGACCTTGAAATGCGCTGGAATGTCAACGCTGAAGTTGATTGTGTTAATCCAGCTCACACACTTGTCCACTTGTCAAATAATGTTTGTTGCAGTGTGCCATTTCGTCATGGCACTAAGCGTTTCAGTCGAATAGACCCCTAGTCCAATAATTTCAACAGTTCACTTATGTCCGTAATCATGTTTTCTCGTGTTTTTGGTCTGCAGGTCCGACACTTTTCCTTGTATTTCTTGAGATAATACATTCGCAGTACGCGCGTTAATAATTGGATCGGTAGATTCCCAAATGGTACGTATGCGGAACTGATCGGATTAAAGATCCGGATTTGAGACCTGAATTATGAACAGACTGAAACCAAAGAAAAACACTTTTAAAGGAGAGAAGATGAAGCATTTACCGAGGTCTTCTGGTTGCTACACGGAAATATCTACAACATAGCACTAGTGAGTGTACTACCGTCTGCTGCGGGTGTAGCAACTGCCTTCGGTTCCTCCAGTGGAGGATCCACGTCGCTGTCAACGTCAGAGGGAATGTCCACAACCTGTGGTAGCTGAATGACCTCGCGATGAACACGGCGGGCTCGCCCACGAGGAACATCAGCAACGCGGCGTACGTACTCAGCTGATATAGCCTTGATCACCGTCACAAATGTCGCCATTGAAGGATACGGGGTCGGGAAACGTGTATTAAGCTCCCTGTTAAACCTCTCCAGGGGATTATTCGTTCGTGCGACCAACTCGTTGCTAATGCCGAATACGTTCCAGACATCGATGGTATACTGCTCCAGCCAAGTGCGGTTGAAATACCCCCAAAAATTGGCCCATTTTTCAGTAGAGTAGGTCACGCCAGCTTGAGCACAGCGCAACTTGATCTCACACTTTACCCACTTAATACCTCGCTTACTGTGAGCAGGATCAATCACCGTCAGGGTGTCTAGGACACCACGTATCATTGCAATCAGACACTCTTCCTCCGGAATAGCATAGCGCTTCATAGCCCGTCAGAGTGCTTGTTTCAGATGAAACAAGCACCCCAACACAATTGAGTTCGGAAACTGTGTTTGTAGTGCGTCCAAGTGTGGCGCGTCGAAGTCACAAACACTTTCGGCCGGTTCGAGTTGCTGGTCCGTTGATTGTACGATAAAATGAATCATATCCCAGTAGGCGTCGCCAGTACGCGAGGTGCTCCGAATGTAGAACACCGGCACGAACACTCCAGAGGCTCGGTCGTGGACCATGAACACAACGCACTGTGCGTAACCCTGCGGGACATACCGAAAAGTGCCACCCACAAACAACGTGGTACCATGATAGCGTAGTAGCGCGACCAGAGATGGATGCGCCCACCCAAGCAAGCGGGAAGGCTTGTTCAAATCGTCGCGGTTAATGGTGACGTAGTGAAACTGAAAAAAGGAAAGCTCTTCGTCTAGTGCCAATGAAAGCGGTGGAATTTCAATAGAGCCGTGAGCATTGCTAGAGTAATGCGCGCTTCTTGCTCTGTGTACTCGTCGGACAACTTCTTGCTCTGACAACCCACGAACAACGTTGGGATTGTCAGCTGAGTAGAACTGGCGTCGCAATTCTTCCCAGACTTGGCGCACAGGCCAAGCGACGTGCTCAATCGCAAGAAGGTCGGCTTGAGCTTTCATCTGGTCCTCAACGTTGATGACGACGTTGGCAATGGCTTCGATGCGGCATGTGTGCAGCTTTACAGCAGCATACGTCATCGATGCAATAGTAAACTCCAGCTTTCCTCTGCAACCTTGGCGAAACTTAGAGCATCTGTACACAATTTTCCTTGAGGACGACCATGCCTTGCAGTACTTACAGCCCTTGTAGAAGCATGTCGTCCGCTCACCACGTCGTGGCACAGACCCCACATCATTTGCAAGCTGCTGTCGAGCTTGCTCGAACAACAACTCAGTGCTAACGACGTCCTCGACCGGCTCAGCTGGCTCCACTTCGCCATCCTCCGGCGCGCCCTCAGCAGGCTCCACCTCGGCATCCACCGACGCGCCCTCGTTTGCCTCTCGATTCATCTTCTCCACTGACCAACGCACGAGCAGCCTCGAGGCTGAAGAAGTGCGTGAACTTACTAATCATTTTCAGATCCCATGTCAGATCTCCAGTAAGATAAATATCTGATCTAGAATCCGATCAGTTCCGTATACGTACCTTTTCGGAGCTAACCATTGGATCGAAGTCAGTTGTTTTGACGAGGGCATGTAATCAACCTGGATGGTCATTGGCGCTCTCAATTTCCTCGCGAAATCAAACAACTTGAAGCGCAAAAAAGCGCTGCAAAAGAAGTTTACCTCGGTCCATTTTTACGGCCTTTTAAACGTTAGCTAGACTCACATTCAACGAGTACATTTTTAAGTCGTCTTCTGCCATCGAAATTGCTTTGTTTTGAGTGACCTTCTGGGCTTTAGAAGGTTTTTTTGGCCGTCCTTGTGACTTTGCAGGGCTAGCCACTTCCCATGAGCTGCTGGTCACTACATCCAGAGTGTTCGTACAGAATTCACCAGACCGGATGCCCACCTCATCAGACTGGATGCTAGACTCACCAGGCTCGCCAACGAGAGTATCAAACGTGATATCGCACACGCTAGACCGGTCAATTGCAAGCTGGGTATGCGATAATTCTCCCTAATAGCCAGATCAACGCTTCCGCCACTTTGGTTATTTTCCGTCTCCATGTGCCTACGAAACCGAAGTGGGTTGAAATCACCTTTACGAACCAAATTGCTAGCTCCTTCAACCAAGGTCAGCCTTGCGGTCGAATTTCACTCGCAATAGGCATAGCCTCACGGTACTTGCGATTGGAGTCCCATGGTCATACATCTTCGATCGTAACGGGCCGTACTGCGAACGATTCCAGTGTCGATGCGCTCTGGTTCATAACTTCCAAATCAAAAGCAGATCGGGCAGATGAAAGCAGTTAACGCCGATTCCGCAACAGAGTCGTGATCATTGTCTCCTTGCCCAAAGGGCTTCTCAAAATAAAGACAGAGCGGCACGGTAAAAGTCGTGTGGTCATAAACAAGCACGAATATGTTCAGTCAAGCTTGGTTACGGAATACTCGGTGTTTGGTTCGTCTAGAGCGTCTTCATCCGTCGACACACTTTTAATAAAGTACAGATCCAAACACCTTTCTGAATACGTGTAGGAAGTACGACCCAAAGTGTACGAATATTGCTCGTGAGTCAGCTCGCACGCGTGTTCACTAACGATGTTAATTACAAGACTTATTTCGACGTCGAAACCAACATGACGTACGTTGACTTTCTTGTGAACTTGATCCACGAAAACCCTTTGTTGCGAATCTTGGTAGTACATAATAGTGGTAGAAATTTTCACATAGATAGTGAATTTGTATGCGCGGCGGTAGACCATTGTTTTACTGCTGGAATATTTTTGAAATAATTGTACCCATTCAATACGGTAGTAGCTGAAGTATTACTTGAGAGGTAGTAGTACTGTATTAGGATAACTGCAAAAAAATGTTTTAGCAAAAGCTATTACCGGTACTGTATCCACATCCAAACGCACATTTTCGTTTTGTCCTTTCCTGCGTTTTCTGAATTTGTAAGGCCGTGTTCGGTTTAAGCTAAAACCAGCTGTAATTGGTATTAAAGAGCTGGAATGTCTCAACCAGCTTTATTCCGCTAAGAAACACAAAAATGACATCCAGCAGGATAGCTCCAAACGACTGGTTTCAAAATTTAGCTTTGGGTTGAATTTTGAATCGTCCTGCTTTGCGCCTTCAAATCCAGATGGAACACGATCACTTATTTTATCTTTATTTTACTTAACAAAACGACTGTTCTACAGCTCTAGCTTATTTTCGAACAAGCTGGATTTGCCCCTGCAAGCCGAACACGGCCTAAATATGTAGTGCGTACAGTAGGACTTAGATTTCATCTGCGCTTCATTAACATTGCTTTACGACCTACATTCATCTTCGGGCGACGCACACTGATGCTATAGCATCGTTAATAATTCGCTCCCTAAACAGCGACGGTTTTCGTCGACTTGGAAGCCGTGTTGGAAACATTTTGCTGCTGCACGGTGGCCGCCGCAGAATCGCCACAGGAGTCCGCACTGTCTTGGACGAGTTTGATTTTCGGTTTTTTGCAGCTGGCGAGCTTGAGATGGCATGGACTTGAGTAAGTAACGCCATCGGAGCCGCACACGGGTGAATAAATGTCAGGGCAAGCAGCAGCACAGCTTTTGGTGGACGAAGAACTTCCACTTCCAAGGACGCCTTCAGAGCCATCTTCGTACAGGCTACCCGTGCCGCTGGTGCTAGTCGAGGACTTTTTCGCCGACTTGGGTAGCTTCGTATTCTTCGTACTCGTTGTGTTATTGTCCGACTGCGTAGGGGGCTTGACTTCTTTTACCGAACTCTCCTCGCTGGCAGAATCGTCTTCGTCACGCGAGGCACCAAACGACCGACCATAGATCCTCTTGTACTCGGCCAAGATGTCAACATCCTTCTTCTTGTCCTTGCACTTGGCCATCCGCATGTAGCACTCGTTCGAGTACGTTTTACCGCTCTCGTCACTCACAGGGTCGTACACATCGACGCATGCGTCGGGGCATGCAGTACCAGCGCCGCCTAAGTTCGATGACTCAGCGGACGAAGCAATTGATCCGCCAGCGCATTCGCCAACTGCCAGCAAACTCAGCGTCGCCGTTTTACACAGAGCAATGCCGAACGCGCAGTCGTTCGCATACGTCACGCCGTCAGACCCACAAACAGGTTCATAGTCGGTTGGGCAGATTGCATCGCAGCTGAAGCCGCTACCAGAGGCGTCCCAGTTAAAGTCCCACGATTCCCCCGCGTCTGAAGCCGACATTGAGTGTGCCGCCAAGTCCTTTGATTTAGCATCCTTCAGCGAGCTACCACCGTACACGGAGGTGATGGCAATCGCCGCAAACACGATGCATACGTTTGGCTTCATTTTTCAGCTGGGATATATGTAAGTCTTCTGGTCTCTCTGCCAAAAACTTTTAATACAGTGGAGCGCCGTGTTGTGAGTCGTAAGTTGCGATGCAACTGGTCTGGACTCCAGAGTCTGGTCTGGAGGAAAGCGAGACGGCGTTTATGCAAATTGCCATCCGGAGCCCATCCAAAACCTCTTATATGTGTATTTATTTTTTCAAATACCGGTAAGTACTACTTCAAGTAAGGTTCAGACCTCGTATTTTCAGCAAATCGATTTTCAAAAATACATGTAATAGTAATAAATTTCCTATCTAGGGTTACAGGTGGCACTAACTGAAAACTAAATACTTAACTCAGGTATTGTGCCAGTTACGTGCCACTTTTGAAAGTCCTACATTTGATTCCACATAACTCTTCATCGACATGTCCTATTTCATCGATAAGGATACTAAATAAAGCGCTCTTTTCGGGCATTTTAATCAGAGGACTGTAAATATGCTGCCTACTTTGGGTCACAAGTGGCTCTGCTTTGTAATAAGTCCTCAATTTAGCGGGGTTGCTAATTTCCTGCCGCTTTTCGCTTAGAAGCTCGTCTGAGTGCAAATTAATTGAGCTCTACCCAGATCAAATCGCTTCTACAAAAAGCATAAATGCCAATGAAAGACTTCCAAAAATCGCCCAAGCACGTGGACCAAACCTCTCCCATCTGGTGGACCATGTGCGTTCTAAACTGGTACTAAACCCCAAATTACGTCTCACCAACCCATGCGCTTGGTTCGGACCAAGCAATCTGATTAGAAGGGTTAACCCGAATGTCTGTGTTAAGTATGAAAACCACCATACAAATTCTAATCTAGGTCAAGAGCTGCTAACATTATGTAGGGGGCGGAACTGGGGCCCCTGTCACCTACATCAACACCACCTAGATCACCCTCCTACCGCCTACACCGCCTACAGTTTCCGTAGCGCCTCCTCTGTTGCAGTGCGGAGAGTATAACGTTGCTAGCCCTTGGTCCAATTTTTGGTGTCACAGCCTAGACCAAGCTGGGACTAAACCGGTCCCAAGTGATGTATCATGTCAAGCCTAAATTTGGGTTTGGTACTTGCTTTAGGAGATTTTGGAAGTCTTTCAATAGAAAATAAGAGCAAACCCAAATCGTGATCTCTAAACTGGCTTAAACTACTGGCATGAAACGCATATAGCTGGCACAGTATCTTACTTGTAGCAGGTGGCAAACTAAATACTTGTAGTGCGCGGTATGTCGTGTGTGTTTATAATACTAAGAATACTTAAGTATGCGGGATGGACAGATTAATGTCATGGGACTTGCGTGATCAACAAAGACTATAATACCCCTGTTTCCTGCCTTATTTTTAGAAAAGGCCAAACTTAAAGTCCCTACTGGTGGACTGACAACATCCCTTGCGAACAGGCAAACTCTAGAACGTCAATGCCGTGGTTTGGCGCGGGCTCCATCCGCTGTCACGTCTCACACGTGCGTGCATAGGTGCCAGTCCATTTGTACAACTTTGGCCACCAGTATATCGACCCACCGATCCATATGTCTTCTCACGACCTAGGTGCCGGCCAACGGGCGTATCAAGAACCTCATAGAGGATTTGATACTTCAGATCCTCATCACGAGGAGTGACTACATGAGGGTTATCCTTAGCGTCGGTGCTGTACAGCAGGCCACCATCGAGCGAGTACCGATGCAGCCTCGCGCTGGTAGCACAAGGCTCGGAACTTGAAGGAGACTCCCCTTCACAGCCTCAAAGGCAACGTCGTGCTTGGCGTTTCACTACCATGGTGCATCCTTCTTTAGGTGATTCGATAATGGCCGAGCCATCTACGCGGAGCTCGTGCTGTACTCGGGCAAGTAATTTTTAATCCTAGCCACTTTCGTAAGTTCTTTTAATTCTTGGGAACAGGCCAGTCCACGATGACTTTGGCAGGATCTGCCCACTAGCCACTCCCCCCAACGAAGCAACCGAGGAAATGTGTCTCTTCTGCGCCGAAGACGGACTTATCCAAGTTGGCATACAGCTTATTAGGGCGCTTGCACTCGAGCACCGCTATCAAATGGTGTCGATGTGGTTTTCCACGTCTGACGTTCCGTGCTCAGCACGACTATGGATGAATATATCGGCAAAGTACGTCTGAGCGTACGCCCAATGAGGCAAACAACTGCGTCACAGGACGATCGAGCGTTGCTGGTGCTTTCGGCAGCCCCTGGGGCATCACCAGCCCCTCCCGGAGCATACCGCTCGGAGTACTTACCGCTGTCAAGCGGAATATCGCTCGCTCTCCTGAGCAATTGGTAGTTACAATCGACCAAGTCGAGTGCGCAGTACAGCGTACAGCCTACCATGTTGTTCTGCGGAGCATCCTTGCGAGGGATCAACGTTTGCGCCGGAATGGTGGCCGCATTTAGCTGGTTGACAGCATGAACCATGCGCCCTTTGCGATTCGGCTTTCTGACACAGAACGAGGGTGTTGAGTACGGAGACTAGCTCTCACGCATCATTCCTCCCTCGTGATTCGCACGAAATAATGTGTCAATGACGTCACACTGCTATCTTAGCAACGGCCATTGCCTTGTCACGCAGTATTTGGTTCCAGGAACCGGGCCAATCTCATGACATACGCCTTGATCCGGAGGCAGGCCAGTCGGTGAATCCTTTGCGACAACGTCTCCATACTCCTTCACCACAAGGTAGAAGGCATCCGAAGGATCATTCAGGATCGTCGATCCACTTCTTGCGCTCAGCACCTTCTTGGTGTACTCTAGGACCACATCGTCCACGATGGATGAGGAATTCAACTCCTCCTCAGCTCTCCGCAAGACCACCTCAGCTATATCATCTGCCTTCAAAGCTTCGCCAAAGTCGGCAACGGACATCTCGTTCAGGTCTAGCAGAGCATCCACAGCGGGCAAAGCGTCAAGGCTGATGTCGCCTTCGACCTACCTCGTCACTTAATTTACAGCTGTTCACAGCAATCACGTGAAACCTCAGCACTCGTCACGCGGGACACCTCGTCCGACGTCGAAGACGTCACAGACGCATTGCGTCTGATTATCCTCTCCCTTCGCGTATAAGCTCGGCCGGAGGAGGGCGGTGTGGCGGCATCTCCATCATCACCACCGGGTGCAGCAGTATCATTATTCCTCAAAGTGAAGACAATGTCTTGCAAGACACTCGGCTGAGAGCCAAGCGGTCCTTGACCCTCACAAAGTGAGCGACGTGTCACTGCACCTGCAGCTCCTGGGCCGCGCCCATGATGCCTTGACTCGCAGTCGACCGTAGTCCTTAAGCCACGCAGCGGTAGGTTATTAACCAAATCCGTACCACTCAGTGGATTACGCGCCACTCTGCGTTCGTCCTCACCAGGACCTGGCAGCTGGTCATTGACCTGACCTGCACCGCTCAGCGGATAATGTGTCGTACCACGTACGCCCCCAGGGCAAACTGTAGCCTCGTTGCTAACAAGATCGGATATACCAAATATCCAGCACTACGGCCGCCTCGGCGTTGTACTCGCGCCCAAAAGCGCTTCTGCTTTTTAGCAGAGGTGGGTTCGTGACTCACCATAGTTTAACAAGGGGCAGGGTACGTGGCACCTAGCGTTTTCGACTTCTAGTCGATCCATGGCTCATGACGTTCCAGCCATGCAATGCCAAGAATGAAGCCATACCTCGCATCCGGCTTTGATATCAAACAGCACTCCTCGCTATCGAAGTTCTCATACTTTACACCAAGGTCAACATAGAGCTTCGACAAAGTCACCAGTGTCCCCGTCGTCGCCAGACGGACAGAGATTATATCTCTCGTTAGCACTTCCAGTGCCTCCGTTTATAGCTGACTCCCTTTCAAGGTGGAGCGACGAGAGTCGCTGCCCAAGGATCCCGAGTCAATCAAGACTCTCCATGGCTTTGCAAAGCCCTTCACGTTCGCTTGAACGACCAGCAACCCGGCTTGCACACACTGTTCTCGTAAGAGAGCTCAGCTCTCTTCGGGGCTGAGCCCCGTTGCCCTCTACCTCCTTGAGACACAACAGACCCCGTTTATTTCCCAGTAGGCCGCCCCGTGCCTACTGGGAGTTGCCGTTTCCCGGTGATGACCCGAAGGGTTGGCTTGCCGGAGCCTCGCGCTTATTGCGCATTCCTTACTGCTTTTGCACACAAAGCATCGGCGGGTGCCGCCGCGCTGCTCCGCAGCAAGAAGCTCCGCTTCTTCGTCTTAAGCATAGCTGAGGTCCGTCGACTTCGGACCGCTCGAAGAGCTCGCGCTACCAGCGCTCCAACCAGGTCGAGCTGACCTGAAGTTGTGCTTGGCATTCAATGCCACATCCATCGCCTCGTCGAAAGCGTTAGGTTGTACACGGAATACTTCCGTTCGAGCTGCGCTCACCCGAAGTCCCTCCATAGACACGGTCAGGCTAACCAGTTCCGAAAGAGGGTCCGCTGCCATTCCGGCGATAAGAGTGCTCAACTTTTGGACATAGTACAGTAATTCCTTCTTATCCTGCCGGGTAGCAAGAAATTTCGACTGCTCACGGTGCGCCTGGTTAGAGGGCGTGAACACGCGCGAAAGCTTCTGATTCAGCGGATCCCAAGTGGGAAATGCAGCATCAACAAACGTGCCGAACGTTAGTGCCCATATGCGAGCGCGACCTCCAAGCCTGGAGTAGCCAGCGTCACCAGCTGATGCTCAGGCTGGAGCAGGGCCGATTCCATGGCCATCTCGACCTCACGGGTCCAGAGAGAAAGATTCTATTCATCCTTCCCTTCGAACGTTTTCACGCTCACGACAAGCGGCTTCAGTCTCATAGACCCTTCACGCGTCATCGACGCCACCGCCGTTGCGACGCTCATCTCCTCTTGGACGCGCTTCAAGATCGCGTTATCGCTAAGTGAGAACGAGTTTTGTATCCTGGCAGTGACTCCCAGTGGACCTTGCGACGCAAGATGAGCAACACCCTCCGGTCCAAGCAAAGACATAAGCTTAGTAAGCGCGTCCAGGCATTGCTGTGAACACGGGGTGCTCCATCATCGCAGAGGATACAGTAACCGACGCAGAAGCGGGATTGACTGCAAGTGCTACCAAGTGCAGCGTGGCTGCCGTAGCTGTAGTGTCAGAGGAAGTGGTTCGATTCAAATAGTCACTAATACTAAGTTCATTATCCGAAGGGCACTTACAGCTCATGATCAGGGCTCAGCTAATTACGTAATTTATGCTTCAAAAATAGAAGTGTTTTATTTACTATTATTGCGGCCAAGTCGCCTAGCGGTAAATGTATCTATTGAACTATCTAGCATAGTTAAACCTAATCAAATACTTGACGTGTGGCTTTCAGCCAACGTACTGAGAGGCGTTTCTAGCTTTCCTACTTATGTACTGAGAGTTTGTTAACACTCCGGGTACTCCGTACCCATGTGTTCCGCACCATATAACCCCGTTATACGTGTGCTACAAACTGTACCCTGATGGACCCCCCCCCCTCGACTTGGAGTGTACGATCACGGCTATCCTCTCTCTCATTTTTGCCCGCACGGTGGCGTGGCAGGTTGGACACCGTAGATGTGATAGCTCCACGCTGAGCAGTGTCAATCCCTGCGGCTAGACGTTGATGTATTGGTTCATCGGTTTCTGCGCTCAGGAATGTCTCTAACAGAGCTGGAACGTCCTGCTGGAAGACCTCCGCAGGTTTCCATGGAGCTCCAATATCGTCGAGACCAAACTATTTCAAAAGAATTTCCCATCTATGGGTATCTGGTCCCAGGAAACAGGCCACCAGATCTTCAACAGGGTGATCATCTTCTCCATATATGGCCTAATCCTGGCGTTCCTTCTCATTGCCTCTTTCAGCAACACGGTAAAACTAGAGCCTCGAGGCGTGGCAGGCAGACACCTCAAAGCGTGCAACGATATTCTGAACCTCAAACGTGTACCCATTCAGTGCGCGTACAATACTTTTGGGTCCCCGCCAAATGAGGGCCAGCACAAAACCACGTTCACTAAAGTTTTGCAGGCGTACACGCTGGCGCTTTGCGTAACGCTCACGCGCTGCGCAGCGGTGCTTTTTACTAGCGTCAGCCAGCTCGAGGTGCATTGAATCCAGAGTAGCCCCTTACTGCGGTCACATGTGATTGGACGTCGTCATCAACCCACGCCACTGTTGCTGTCACTGGATCACGGGGGTGCAATATGCTCCGCAGCTGCGTGCCTCCATACAACACAGTGAGTATTGTCAGTGGTGCCTTACCACCGAGTCGGTCGGCTGGCATCCCGTCCAATGCCGCTTCCACCACGCGCAAGATGGCCGACCAGTTCTGGACTGGAAGCTTGGGCTCGCTCAAGAGCGCCTTGATCTCTTCAATATCTCGAAGCTAGCCACCTCAGCGGTGCCGCTCACCCACGGCGTGTATACCGCCGTGAAGTGGTGTTGGGCAGCTATCGTTCGCTGCAGTATATCAACCATCTGGTTAGGAAAATTGGCTCCTTGGTCGGAGACCCACTGTCTCATGGCGCCGAACCTCTTCAACAAATCCGTCCGTCCTTGGTACACGGTGTCCGAGTTGCATGAATGCATGAAATTTACTCAACGAATCCGCTCATCCCGTCCTTTTAGACTATGATGTCCTTAGTGCCACCAGTGCCCTCAATCCCAGTCAGGTAGTCAAAGTGGATGAGCTCGTTGGACTTCGTAGCCTTCAGCGTCTCTCTAAACGGTCGTAGAAAGCGGTCACAAGCAGTTGTCATACAATGCTCGCATCCAGTCACGAGCTTGGAGACATCACTTGCCATGCTTCGCCAAAAGAACACGCCTGAGTGGTTGCACGAGCACCGCTGTGCCCGCGCGCATCGGCGTGTGCAATCTCACATAAGCGCTACTGCAAATCAGCCGCATCAGCAGGAATCCGCACCTGACCCGACGTCACCACCATGAAGTTACACTCGTCATTCCACTGCGCACCTTGCCGGTCGTCAGCAGAATCGCACGCCGCCTGTTGTAGGGTTCTTATTTCGGCCTCAGTTGGCTAAACAGCTCACAACAGCGTACAGTAGCGCAAAAAAAAAAACGTCACGGCGTCCACCGAGTGCTTTCAGTAGTTGAAAAGCTTCACCGGGTTGATAGCTCAGCCAATCTCTCACTTGGCGGTCTTTCGATCGACATTCCAAACATTCACCTCGTGGGGTCCTTGGCCCACTCACTCTAGTCCCACCCGTGTTTCTCAATCCTCCTCTATGCATCGGCGCTAAATCGTCATCGAGACTTGGCCGCTATGACCATCACGGATACCACCAGCCACGCCGGCCACGACCCCCTCGCGCTCCATGGCCATCCCGACCGGCTTGGCCAGCGTCCCTACTCTGGTTCTCCTTTCGGATCGTTTCGCCTGTTGCTGCATGTGCAGTCTGCTTCCATGTCATGAGCTCATGCATGAGCTATGTGACCCACGAACAGCACGGCACCACGTCGTTCCATAACACTTTGTTCTCTTGCAATATTAGCTTGGTTGTGATGACTGCCTTGAAACTGGCGCGTCTGCCAGGTATCTCATGATCCTGCGTGGTTCATTTTTGAACGCCACTTCTGCCAAGTCATAATAATGCAAGATGGCCTCCAGGTCGGCCTGAAGATTCAACATCCTGCTTTCCAGCACAGGCCACGTCGTCTCCATCTGCCGCTTCGTTATTGCTCCATCATCAAAGCGTAGTCGATGTGCGAGGACGCGTTGGCCTGCCAAAAGAAATCGATCCACTGCTGTTACGTGCCCAAGTGCGGCGCCATGCGGACCTCGTATCGCGCACCATGTTTTGTCCTTGACTCGACGCAGGCCTCAACCGGCATCGAAAACGCATCACCCCACTAGGTCTGCAACGTGTTGATGATGGCCAAGTACTTCTCGTACTGCCGCACGAAGGCCCTCCTGCCTTGCATCGTCGTACCCGCAAACCTCGGAGGTTGCGGCAGCGCCAGCGCTGCAGCGACGTGCTGGTCCCCGGGCACCGGGCTTGCATTGGCTATGGACTGCTTATCCTCTGCATCTGGCACGTCCTCAAAAGGCGCGGGGGGGGGGGGGGTCGTGATCGTCAATCCCAGCGATCTCGGCAAGTGCGACACCTGGCCCGTCGGGTCTTGCACCGTAGCTGCAGTGTCGTATCTCGGACGTTCATGTGCATCACGCCTTTACCACGCGCGGAGCCCCAACCTTCAGAAACGACTAAAATTAACGTTGATGTTTCTCCGGTCACGAAATACTCTCTATTATCCCGGTCACCAAAGCTTGGACGAACTTTGAGACACAAAGTTACCCCTTTCCCTACATAAAACCCATATCAACATTTAGATATACCAAGTAAGGGGTAAGAACGGGCGGAGATTCCGATTTTGATGTCCGTTTTTACGTATAATCAAGGCTTCCTATTCATTTTAGCCGTTTGCAAAGTCATCTTTTTATTGCAGAATTGTTTGCATTTTTGAGACTGCCACGTGCACCAAATCAGCGAGTCTATTGGTCAAATCAAGATAACATGTGGCGATTTAAGTCTGAATACCGCAATTTGGCGATTGTTAAAAAGAATATAATCGTGTTATAATAAACTTGCGTATGGAATATACAATCGGTAAAAAACGGGCAAGCGAAAACTTATTCAGAGTCACTTCCTTCGTCATCTTCTGCACACTCACTGTCTTGGTCGTCCCCTTCGTCCTCTGACACAAGCTCGTACTGATCAGCTAGCTCCATGTATCTTGTTTCATACTTTTGAGCGTGTGTATACGCTTTGGTCCATGTGCTCGACGTGAGCGACGCAAATCCGTCGTTAATTTTGTTTTTCAACTCGTCCATGTTGGACGCTGGGTTGTTTGCAATCTGGCCCTTGATATTCGCCCAAATCAACTCGATCGGTTGTAATTCAGGGTGGTACGGTGGGGTAAAGTACACCAAGTGTCCAAATGGGCGGGCAATTTCAGTGACTCTATAAATTGGCTTGGGTTTGTTTGCTCGGACAAGCATCATCAACTCTGCTTTAGTATAACTGGTGTCGTACCAGATTTCTATACAGGTATATAAAAAATTAAAATTTACATTTAAAAAAAAACAGGAAGTATTACGTACCGTTTTCCTCAAGCCAGATCTGAACTTCTGCTTTAAGCGACCTGGAATTTGGAGCAGCGTTGACTTGATTTTTGTGGTAGCTCTTACCTTGTCCTTATCAACCCACGACAGTTGGGCCGTGTGGTTGAGATTGCAAAATGTTTCGTCGAGATATACTTCAGGACGTACCGGATATTCTTTTCTGTTGAGGTTGGATATTTTTTTCTTTAAATACTGCGTTCGGAACGCCACATTTGCCGTAGATTCTGCCACGATATTGCGTGACTTGCCCTTAATAAAGCGCATCCCCATCCTCCGCAAAACACGGCGAAGGGAACGAACAGAAATGTTGATGTTGTGCTCTTCCTTTAGGCGCTTCACTAACTTTGGGGCTGCAACAGGCTTGCCACTTGAGTTCAGTTCAGACACGAGTTCACGTACGAGCGGCTGTATGCTTTCACCGAACGTTCGAGGCCTACCAGATGGTTTTGAACCTTTCATCTGTATTAAATCATATTACGACCAGTGAAATTGCTAAGTATAAATAATAACAGAAACGCCATAAACCACCACTCACCGACGCAAACTTCTAGTCGTGGTTCTTCTCCCAATGGCTTCATATCGCTGAAATCGTGCCCGTCGCGAAGCCCAAACACTCGTGAACGTGATCCCTTACATCCCCCTTCCACAGCTGTGGCGAAGCAGCCTTTTTTCCTCGAATGTATTCGTACGTCTTTACCACCAAATATTTTTCAGCTGCAGTTAATTTCTTACCGGCGACCATTTGCTCAATAATGCTCCGCTGTCGAGCCTATGAAGCTGGGAAATGCATATTTAGACTCAAGGCTGTCGAATGCAGTTTCCTAGAGCTAATTCGAGTGACCGAGTATCGAGAAATACGCATCTATATTTAGGTCACATATATTACTGTTTTCCGTCCAAACTGACAGACCCGAACAGCAAAGAGGGATATTTTGAAATTTTGGCCAATTAGATCTTAAGCTTTTAGTACAGAGCAGATTGCATTCGTGCTGCTGTCACTTCACCACTTCTCGAGCTGCAAAATTGCGATCACAAGGGCGGCAATAAAATAATCGGCACCGATGTGCCCTTACTAAAATCAAGTATAGGGCACGCGGGTGACCCACGCAGCACAACTACCTCGAAGAAGAGTGTACCGTCGACAATTGACCAAGCACAGCTGCATGAGACCGTGACCTACGTTAAGAGACACCGCTCTGCCGTCGTCATCGAGAGCGAGAAGCTCGATACACTGCCACTCCACGCGGAAATGAAGTATGAACATCACCGCCAAATCTCTCCCGGGCGCCGACCACCCGCTGCTCGTGTTGTAGAGCGCATTTGTCAGCTGCTCCATCGCAAGAAAGACATTGCTGGGGCAGTGTGGGCTAATTACTGGGATGCCGAGAAGCGTACTGCTGCACCACCACCCGGCAACTACGTGGCTAATCAACACTCGTGCCCCGCAATGGTCGCTGCTTTTGTTCAGCAGTTTGTTCGAGAGCGACGTGCTATCCGACAGTGCACTGTAGCAAGGGACGTCATGGACAAGCTTGCCCGCAACTACGTTATCCATGTTGACTACGACTCGTCTACAGCTGTAGTTTTCGCACTACGCCCTGTAAGACAATATCTACAGTCTCTTGGATACAAACGAGGAATGAAAAAGGGAAAACTGGGCTACCGCTTGCGTGAAGACAACGCTCGAAAGCGGGACATTTTATTTGTCAAACATGATGAAAGTCGAGAATGAATACTCCCAGCCTATAATTTATCTTGATGAGAGCTATATACATCATAATTACGCTCGCCATGATGATAGCCTTTTTGACCCCAATGATGAGCAAGATCTCCAAGTCACTGTAAAGCATAGAGGAAGAAGATATTGCTCTATCGCTGCTATAGTGAGCGCAGATTCTCTGATTGGCGAAAACGAGCGAGACCTTGGCCATCAAGTGCATCTACTGTACGACACTTTGGATATTTTTAAAGGGGGATAATAACAAACGAAAGATTAGCACGGATTGTTCAGCAGTGTGTACTGCGAGAACTGGATGAAAAAGATTATCGACGTGTTGGGCGTGTATTACATTAAAACCACGATCATAGTGCTGGACAACGCGACGTGACACTGCCGGCTGCCTACTGGGACCCCAAAAGACACGACGAAAAAGACCGAAATGCTAACCAAATGCGCTGACAAAAAGGTGCTGAAAAAGACTACTACTACCTCCGTTCTGAAAAAGATAACCATTTCAAATTATATTACAGCCTACCCCAAAAAAATACCCCCTCTACTGTATGCCGATCAGATTTTGGATTTCGAATCTCCCGCGCTTTCCCGACCAGACTGGCTCCCGCACCTAGCTTTCATTTTGAAAACTGGCACATGGGGGAGATCACAGACAGTGAGTGCCAGGCCGTCTGGGAGACCTTACGGCTTCGCAGCGTGGGAGGAGTGCTCAAACATGGAGAGATCGTTCGGGTTGCAGCGTAATTCCGTGTGGGCCGCCAAGTTGTCGAGCGAATTTGGAGGCGTGGAATCAATTCGATGAAAGATCGAGTAGCAGCCGTGGTCAAGTCAAGGAAGAGCGCATGTGGTAGGAAGAAGGTGGATCGAGCTGAGCTGTGCGAGAGAATCGCTGCAGTTCCTGTCAATGAGCGCGAGACCCAGCGTCTGCTTCAGCGCGCGTCCAACATGAGCTGCTACCTGGTTCAGCAGCTGATCAAGGAAGGCTACATACGGCGTGCGCTCAGACAGACCCGTCCACTACTTCCACCCACGCACAAGTTGGCGCGCCTCCGGCACAAGGACAAGCAAGTACGAGCTGGCACTCTCCCTACGTCACTGCCTTGTGACGCTATCTCACTCGCCAATGCTAACGCGTACATGCTGCTTCTTGCAGCGAGCAGACCCCCACCGTCTACCGCTGAAGGTACCGAACCCCCAATGAAGCGCCCCTTCAAAATGTGGCGATATAATGGCCGACTTTAGATCCGTTTTGGTATCCTATAGTTTGCCCGGCGGAGCATGAACGCCTGTGCCATGCTTAGTTTCTCACTGTCATCTCTCGGTCATAAAGCTAGCTAGCCAGCCTCTCACAAATTAATAAGAGAGTGACTATTTTGCCAGACTGGGAACACTCTACTCATAGCAAATCTTTCCTATTTCCGATTATCTGTGTATGCACTCATCCGTACTAGGTATAGCGTATAGATACTGTATACCAGTATGCCACCGTTTCCTGAACCACAAAAAAATCTCCCCCTCCAGCAAACGCGTGGCTCCAAACGCACGAAAATGGCACCACGGCCACGCAGCGCACAGAAGCGCCCCCTGGCACTGGAGGGTATCGACAGCGACAGCGCCAGCAAGGCTCCGTGAGTGACTGGCAGCCAGTGTCGAGCCCGACTTCTGCTGAGGCGGAGACGGTAACCAGTAGGCTAGATATTTCGAGTGAGAACAAACACTTCAGTGGCTGTACGGAATGCTAGGATAGATGCTCAGGACTCCGCGGCGACTAAAATCCCGGCCGAGTGGGATCAGTACGCGAAGACGTATGTAACGGGGTACAATCCAGTGTGCCCCATGTTACATAAAGAGTGACCCGTCACTCTTGTGGACACCTGGTACACGGTACCAGGTGCTCTTGGAACCAGTCAGTGCATGACTACTTAGCTTCACTATAGGTAACCTCTAGTTTGTATGAGACCCAAGCTTATCTTACTTATAAATACATCAGTCTTAAATCTACTTCTCTAAGTAGCAAACCGTTCCCACTGAGGCCGGGAACACGTGGACTTACGTTCACTCGGGTAGTTAATACCCTTAAGCACTTCCTCTGTGCAAGGTGCTGTGTGACCCCGTCACAACGTACGTGTGTACACACCACGGCACATACCGATCGCAAGCCACAAGCAAGCGGCCGCGTCAGGAGACACGGGCCCAAGGATGCTCAGCACAGGTATGCGATTACTTTAGTTTTGGTTTGTAGCGAAATAAACCCAATCTGGCATAATCGGGCTCAGTTGGGATAAATCGTGCATCACCGGTGTAAGCTCAGCCACTAACCGTGTCTGTTTGCATTAACTTTGTTACTATTATTTCAGCTGAATGTATGCGTTCAAGAGATTAACAAAGCTGAACACACGTTTGTGCTCAAAGTGACGAAGTGCCGGCTCGAGCACAATCACTCACTGAACGAGTATGCATTCAAGAGTCATCCTTCCAGCCGTATTTGTAATGGGCCCAACTCCAATTACATAAGTAGGTAGATATTTCTTAAGTTATTACATAAGTAGGTAAAGTGGCACACGGGTAGCGTGTGCCAAAGTGTCATCATCTGATTGGTTGATAGTGAGGAGCCAGACTCACTTATTGACCAATCAGATATAGACATGTGTTTGAGTGGTTCACACGAGGCCAGGGGTAGCCGCCCTGGTCCTAAATAAATCAGAGTTGAATTTGACACAAACCTAAGACTTGGTTTTATTATTGCGAGCTTCCTCCGCACTATAGTGTAAGCTAGTAACGGTATCTCTTACCCCGTTACACCTGGTAGCACTTTGTAGTCCTTCCAACGACCAAGTCTACGATGAGCCAAGTCCAGATCTCCGGGGCGACCCTGGAGCATGCTGCATTCTACCATCTCACTCGCGTGGAGTGGGAAGCGCTTCACCGCCTCGTGGCGGTGTCCGGAGACGCTGTCGTCGCATCGCTGCTGAGCTCAGCGACGCCCGACCAGCAACGTCTTGCAGCACAAGAGTTCATGGAACGCGAGCTCGCCGATGCGAATCGGCGGGTGTCAACTCCCTCGCGTCCATCCCAGAATGACGTCGTCAAGATGGAGACGTCTACGTATTCTGGCGCCGGTGAAAACCGGCTTCCGCTAAACCGGTGGTTCCGCGAGATCGACATCGCTATCGCCTCGCGACGCATCAAGGCGTCATCGGCCAAGATGAACTTCCTCCTCTCCCGGTTAACCGGGAAGGCCAAAGAATGGACCCTCGGGAAGCTGGTTGTCGACCCCGAGGCTTTCCCGACTCTGGAAACTCTCCAGAGCGACTTGCGCCTCGCGTTCGAGCCCCCGCAAGATGAGTCTCGCGTTCGCGCAGAGTTCTTCTCTCTGCGGCAAGGGCATATGTCCATGCGTGATTACGTCCAGAAGACGCGACATCTGGCGTCATGCATCGTGACCAAGCCAATCGACATGGCCTCGCAAGTCCACGTATTGTGTTCGGCATGCGCAAGGGTATGACCCGCTACTGCCTCACCAGAGCTGAGCCCTCCTCTCTCGAGGAGGCGTTTGCACTCGCGATTCGCGAGGATTACATGGTAGCTGCATCGTACGCCGCAGCCATACCTGCGGAAGCCCGGGAGTCTACCCCCGAGCCCATGGAGATCGACGCCATCAACGCGTCGAGCAATCGACGTCGCGGGTCCTACCGCGGCAGCGCTGGGCGAATCAATCGCTCCCTCATTTGCTTCCGCTGTGGGAAGAAGGGTCATCGCGCGGCGGAGTGCCGCGCGCCAGCTCCCGTCGTCTCTCACGTCGACGCGGAACACTCCTCGGTCGCTCATTCAAAAAACGACCAGGACCAGTAGGTGCGGGGCGCCCTACTGGCTTTAACGAAGGACCGGGCTCTCCGGTGGCAGCCCAACCTTCGAGCCCTCCCGTGCTCCAAGCACACACCAATGCCACCACTACGCCGGGCGACTCGAGACTGATCATTGTCAGTCTCCACGTCACCGGTGCCTGGCGACCACTGCGCGCGCTCCTTGACTCAGGAGCGACCAACAACTTCTTTCGCGCGTCGTGTTTGTCGGTACTACCCAAGAACGTCCGCGTCCGGAATGGTCCGGGCGAGATCCAAGTCAAACTCGCAGATGTTAAGGCTCGCCGCTTTGCGCGGCGTGACGTGTCTTTGTCGTACACGTTCGACGGCTTCCGTAGCAAGGACGACTTCTTGGTGATCGAGATGAACTACGCGTTTGACTGCATCCTGGGCATCCCTTGGCTTGCGCAATATCAGCCAGAGATTGACTGGCTGGCCCAATCAGTCAAGCGTCGACGTGCATTCGACGCGAGCGAGGTCTTCACACACCTCTTGGTGGCGCCAAGAGACTGGCCCCACGTCACAGTCGTCGACAAAACAGCAACGACACAAGCAGTGCACAGAGCGAGCGATGGCCCTCTCTGCATGGCTTGTGCTACGTTGTTGGACGAAGAGCCCTCGCGGTTTCGCGAGGTAGATGATGAGGTGGTTGAGCAGCGGCTCCCACAGTACACAACGGTGGTCGAGCAGGGGCTCCCACAACACGAGATGATGGTCGAGCAGGGGCTCCCACAACACGAGACAGTGGTCGAGCAGGGGCTCCCACACAACGAGACGGCGGTAGAGCAGAGGTTCCCTCCGAACAATTCGGCGGTCGAGCCGATTGGGCTCCCGTCAAACGATGTCGCGGTTGAGCAGGGGCTCCCACGTGTTCCCGACCCGGTCGAGTACGGTCTCCCGCGCCTAGAGGAGGGTGATGCATCGTCGAGTAGCAGTGCGTCAGACGCGAGCGTAAGCTCGAGGAAAGTCGAAGAAGAAGTCGAAGCGACGACGCCTGAAACCTCGTCGAGACTACACGACCAGCGATAGCCCGCCGATGGAATCGGTCAGCGCGCTGGAGTACGTGGAAAGAGGCCCGAATCGGGCGCGCAGCATCGCAATCGCGAGCCCGCCGCGCGAAGCGGGCGGAGATCACACGCCTTCCAGGCTTGTCCTGGAAGAACTTTCTTCGGGACCTACGGTTGGAGACGTCGAGCAAGTATGCTTGGTCACCGAGGCAGTCTCGGTGGATGAGGTAGCAAATGCGGTCGCAACGGACAGTGAACGTTCACGTCCGCTAGGTGCTGAACCTAAGTCTGCTCGAGAGGAACGATTCCAAACGCAGTCCTAGGAGGCCTTGCGTGAGTCAGCGAAACCCGTATACGACACCGCCTGCGAGTACGCCGACGTCTTCCCGGATGAGATCCCCGCCGAGCTACCGGCGGATCGTGGGGTTCAGCATGGGATCGACCTCGCGCCAGGTACGAAGTACTGCGTCACCAGACAATGGCCACTTCCTCGTGATCAAGTGAAA